TTATATAGTTGCCTCTCTGGAGAAAATAGGAACCCCCCTTGCTGCTCCAGTGAGCAAGTTATCTCTGCAGCCACTTATCTCAAGTGCTTTACTGTCACTTGGTCCACAGCCATCTGGGCAGTCCTCGGTATCCAGGAAACAGAGGGGCCTTCTCTGGCATAGGAGGAGGAATTACAAGTCAGAGGAATTACTCCAGGACTGGGGTCTTGGGTTCAGAATTCTCTTCCTTTTTTTTTTTTTGAGTTGGAGTCTCACTCTGTCGCCCAGACTGGAGTGCAGTTGCTGCTCCCGGCCACCGTAGCCTGGACCTGCTGGGCTCCGGCGATCCTTCCACCTCAGCCTTACAAGTAGCTGGAACTACAGGCGCGCGTACTATGCCTGGCTAATTTTTTGATTTTTATTGTAGAGATGAGGTCTCACCAAGTTGCCCAGGCGGGCCTCGAACCCGCGGGCTCAGGCAATCCACTCACCTCGGCCTCGCAAAGCGTAGGATTACAGTCTGAGCCACCGAACCCGGCTTGGAATTCTCTTCCTTCTTTGGAAAAGAGTTTCATGTTGAAAAAGAACCCCTTCTCCCCAGTGCTGTTCAGTATAAATGGGTCTTGGCTTCCACACTTGTGAAGTAGGCTTAGGAAAATGGGCACAGGCCAGGTGTGGTGGCTCATGCTTATAATTCCAACACATTGGGAGGATTACTTGAGCCCAAGATTTTTTTTTTTTTTTTTTTGAGTAGGAGTCTCACTGTGTCACCCAGGATAGAGTGCAGTGACATGCTTATGGCCACCACAGCCTCGACCTGCTGGGCTCAGATGATCCTTCCACCTCAGCTTTCCAAGTAGCTGGAACTATAGGCGGGTGCCATCATGCCTGGGTAATTTTTTTTGAGTTGGAGTCTCATTCTGTCACCCAGACTGGAGTGCAGTGGCCGCTCCCGGCCACCGCAGCCTCGCCTGCTGGGCTCCGGCGATCCTTCCGCCTCAGCCTTCCGAGTAGCTGGAATTACAGGCGCGCCCTACCACGACCGGCTAATTTTTTGATTTATTGTAGAGATGAGGTCTCGCCAAGTTGCCCAGGCGGGTCTCGAACCCGCGGGTTCAGGCAATCCACTCACCTCAGCCTCCCAAAGGCGCGGGATTACAGGCTGAGCCACCGAGCACTGCTAATTTTTTGATTGATTGTAGAGATGAGGTTTTGCCAAGTTGTCCAGGCTGGCCTCGATCCCCTGGGCTCAGGCAATCCTCTCGCCTCTGCCTCTCAAAGTGCTGGGATTACAGGCGTGAGCGACTGTGTCTGGCATGCCCAGCAGTTTGAGACAAGCCTGTGCAAAATAGTGAGACCTCATTTCTACAAAAAAATTAAAACGTTGCCAGTCACGTTGGGGCACACCTGTAGTCCCAGCTACTCAGAAGACTGAGAAGGGAGGATTAGCCAGAGTCCAGGAAGTTGAGGCTGCGGTAGGCTGTGATTGTGCCACTGAACTCCAGCCTGAGCGACAGAGTGAGACTCTGACCCCCACAAAAAAAGGAAAGAAAGAAAAATAGACACAAGGCAGACTTCCCCAGGGTCCTTTGCCTGGATCCCTGACACATAAACTTTGTCTTACGTACTTCTTTCTAGGGATGGGAGTAGGCGATAGAGAAGAGAATAGTTTAAAAACAAAAACTCCAGGCCGGGCTCCGAGGCTCAGTCTATAATCCCGCGCTTTGGGAGGCCAAGGTGAGTGGATTGCCGGAGCCTGTGGGTTTGAGACCCACCTGGGCAACTTGGCAAGACCTCATCTCTACAATAAATCAAAAAATTAGCCGGGTGTGGTAGCACGCGCCTGTAGTTCCAGCTGCTTGGAAGGCTGAGGCGGAAGGATTCCCGGAGCTCAGCAGGTCGAGGCTGCAGTCCAGGAGCGGCCACTGCACTCCAGTCTGGGTGACAGAGTGAGGCTCCAACTCAAAAAAAAAACCCCAGCCTGGCAACATAGCAAGACCTCATCTCCACAAAAACTCAAAAAAATCAGCTGGGTGTGGTAGCACACACTTGTATTCCCAGCTACTCAAGAGGCTGAGGTGGGAGAATCAATTGAGCCCAGGAATTGGAGGCTGCGGTGAGCTCTGATCGTGCCATTGCACTCCAGCCTGTGACAGAGTGAGACTCCAGCTCAAAAAAGAAAAAAAAAAGTCAAATGCAGTGGCTCATGTCTGTAATCCCAACACTTTGGGAAGCAGAGGCAAGAGGATTGTCTGATCTCAAGGGTTTGAGACCAGTCTGGGCAACCTGGCAAGACTTCATCTCTACAATAAATCAAAAAGTTAGCTGGGCATGGTGACACATGCCAGTAGTTCCAGCTTCTTGAAAGGCTGAGGTGGAAAGACTGCCTGAGCTCAATAGGTTGAGTCTGTAGCAGCTGTGATTGTGCCATGGCACTCCAGCCTGGACGACAGAGTGAGACTAACTCAAACAAAAAACAAAAAAACCTACCTAGGCTCATTTATACCAGAAGTCTTCTAAAATTGTCCCCTTTAGGCTGTGGCCTTCTAATGTGGAAAGAGGGAGTGATAGCCTATACAGGGAAGATGATTCCAGATTTCCCTAGATTCACTTTTTTCCTAAAGATACGTTACTTGATAATGGTTCCTCGTATGTTTTTGTCTTCTGAACCCACTTCCTACTTTGTATCTAGCAAATCTAGTAGAAGCTGGAGTGTATGTTTTCACCTTCCTGTAACCCAGCAGGGTTCTCAACTGGGGGCACTTTTGCCCTCCAGGGAACATTTGACAAGACTGGAGATATTTTTGATTGTCATGACTGAGGTTGCCAGTGGGTAGAGGCCAGGAATGCTGCCAAATGCCCTGCCATGTGCGGGACAGCGCCCACAACATAGAATTCTCCTGTCCACAATACCAATAATGCTGAAATGGAGAAGCCCTGCTATAATTAGTATGTCATTTTGTTTCTCTCATGTCATCCTCTCTCAGAGGCAGGTTGAGATAGAAGTTCAAGGGTGAACTGTGAGAGAGTTATTATGCCCTGAGCAGAGCTGAAGGCTTTATGGTCTCCTGCACCCTGCATGATGCTCATACTTGCAATGAGATCATCATTTAAGTACCTGCCTCACTGGGTTGTTTGAGGATTAAATGATTAATTAATGCCTGTGAAAATATTAGAAAAATATCCGGCACACACAATACGTGTTTAAAAACACAAACCAAAACCCTGTCTCTGCTATTTTGGGCAGTGTAATTTTAGTATATTTTATTTAAAACTCTGAAAGCTAGGAAGATGCAAGGGAACAAGGTTGATAATAGCAGCAGCTGGACTTTTCAAAGCTTTGAAAATAGGCTGGGTGTGGAGGCTCATGCCTGTAATCCCAGCACTTTGGGAGGCAGAGGGCAGAGGATTGCCTGAGCCCAGGGGTTCAAGACCAGCCTGGGCAACTTGATGAGCTCTCGCCTCTACATTAAATCAAAAAAATTAGCTGGACATGGTGGCATGTACCTGTTGTTCCAGCTACTTGTTTTTGTTGGGTTTTTTTTGAGTTGGAGTCTCACCCAGACTGGAGTACAGTGGCCGCTCCCAGCCACCGCAGCCTCGACTGGCTGGGCTCCAGCAATCCTTCCCCGCCTCAGACTTCCAAGTAGCTGGAACTACAGGCGCCCGCTACCACGCCCGGCTAATTTTTGATTTATTATAGAGATGAGGTCTCGCCAAGTTGCCCAAGCGGGTCTCGAGCCCATGGGCTCAGGCAATCCACTTACCTCAGCCTTCCAAAACGCTGGGATTACAGGCTGAGCCACCGAGCCTAGCAGTTCCAGCTACTTGGTTTTTTTGTTTTTTTTTTTGAGTTGGAGTCTCACTATGTCGCCCAGACTGGAGTGCAGTGGCCGCTCCCGGCCACCGCAGCCTCGACCTGCTGGGCTCTGGTGATCCTTCCACCCTAGCCTTCCGAGTAGCTGGAACTACAGGTGCACGCTACCACGCCTGGCTCATTTTTTGATTTATGGTAGAGATGATGTCTCGCCTGCCCAAGCAGGTCTCGAACCCACAGGCTCAGGCAATCCACTCACCTCAGCCTCTTAAAGGCACGGGATTACAGGCTGAGCCACCGAGCCTGACTGGTTCCAGCTACTTGTAAGGCTGAGGTGGAAGGAGTGCCTGAACCCAGCAGATCGAGGTTGCAGTGGCCATGAGCATGCCACTGTACTCCGGCCTGGGAGACAGAGTGAGACACTGACTCAAAAAATAAAATAAAAGTTCCAAGGGGTAGGGAGATGGAATTAACAGTAGCAAATATCTGTCTGGGAGAAACACCCCATATCAACAGGGTGCCTGAATGAAACGCAATTGTATACCTAACCCTTAACTGTACCCCACAACTTCATAATAAAAAATAAATAAATAATTAAAAAAAAAAAAGTTCCAGCAGCAGCAACTGTTCCTGTTTTACTCTGAACCTGCTGGGAAAGCATCTGCTTCTTACATCAAAGAGATTATATATGGTCATCATTGGGCCCTCTTGGAGTAGGGGGCATTGTCCTGGATAACTGGATAATGGACTATTTTTATTTTTACCTTTATTCTCAGGGGCTCTTCATGTATTCTCATGATTTAGAGATGTAAACCTTCTTTTCCGTATTATGAACATGGGAAGAAGGAAAAAACTCCACAAAACAAACAACCAGCGTTGATATGTCCAAGAGCATCACTTGAATAGATCAGCTACCCCAAATGCTCCATGTTTTAGTGCCCAAAGAAACATAACAAATCAGAGGATAATGTACTGCTCTTCATTTTTCCATTCAATGGATATGAATGGAATGCTTAAAGCTTTGCTGAAACACTGATGTCTTTGCTAATAGTCTTATCTATGGAATGAGGACCTGTAAGATTATTTGGCCTCCCTCCTTTGTGAAGATTAATGAGAGGAAGTGTGTGAAGCCCTACACACATCTCAGGTATAGGGAAGTGGATACAGATACTTTGGTTAGTTTCTCATTCTCCCTCCTCTCCAGGAGTCCCGACCTCTGCATGTTGTACTGGGAAATGAAGCCTGTGACTTGGACTCCATGGTGTCTGCTCTTGCCCTGGCTTTTTACCTAGCAAAGGTGAGTAGCTAGGAACCGAGTCCTTTAGAATGAAAAGATTTGGGTTCAAGAGCCAGCTCTGATACTTACCAGCCCCTTAACTTGGCTGACTGTCATGCTACTGTCTATACAATCTGGAATGATAACATTTTGCAGGGTTGCTATGAGGAAAAAATGAGTAAATATATTTTAAGGAATTTGTAAACCATACAGTATATTACTGAGCTCCTTATGGATGATCTAGTATGTATTCCTCTTGCCTAGGTGAACTCTTGAGGGCTAATAATCTCTTCTCTAGAAGCAGCATTGCTTCTAGAACTAGGTCTTTTCCATGAGTTAGCTTGTTGGCCTTTATGTAACTGCTAAGGAGGAGGAAGGGTAAGAGTCATCCTTTTATTTTATTTTATTTTTATACTTTTTTAGTCAGGATCTCACTCTCATCCAGGCTGATGTGCAGTGGCAGGATCACAGCTCACTGCAGCCTCGACCTCCTGGGCTCAGGTGATCCTTCCACCTCAAACTCCGGTGTAGCTGGGACTACAAGCACGTACCACCATGCCCGGCTAATTTTTTTATTTTTTGTAGAGACGAGGTCTCACTATGTTGCCCAGGCTGGCTTTTATTTTTATAAATTAGTTAATTGTGACTTTGAGAAAAGTGATGACTTACCCAAGATGACATCTGTTTTGGACCCTATTGTCTGGTTACTTTTTCCTGACTGTTTTTAAACATTGTAATGTCTTCTTTTCATTTTCCTATTCAGACGACTGAGACCGAGGAAGTGTTTGTACCAGTTTTAAACATAAAACGTTCTGAGCTACCTCTACGAGGTGACAACATCTTCCTCCTTCAGATGGTTCACATTCCAGAGACCGTCTTGATTTTTCGGGATGAAATTGACCTCCATGCATTGCACCAGGCTGGCCAACTCACTCTCATTCTTGTTGACCATCATGTCTTACCCAAGTAAGGAGGTTAAATTAATACTTATTATTTACCATGCTGGGTTCTGATGAGTGAGCTATTAAAACAGGAAGAAGCCGGGCTCGGTGGCTCAGCCTGTAATCCCGTGCCTTTGGGAGGCTGAGGTGAGTGGATTGCCTGAGCCCGTGGGTTCGAGACCCGCCTGGGCAACGAGACCTCATCTCTACAATAAATCAAAAAATCAGCCGGGCATGGTAGCGCATGCCTGTAATTCCAGCTACTTGGAAGGCTGAGGCGGAAGGATCGCTGGAGCCCAGCAGGTCAT